CAATAGGTAAGCGTCTACGACCGTGATCCACAAAACATATTTCGATGTTTCGATCCTGTGTGGGAATATGTGAATGGCTATCAATCTTGGTATGCAGACGACGGGTTTGTCGTGCACCTGAATAAGGAGCCAGCATTTTGCACATGATCAATCTACTACAAGTTACAACCATGTGTCCTTGGGGTGACGCTTGGGAACGGTTCAAGTCATGGTGCTTCAATTCGTATCCGTCCCCTGCCTCCCCATGCACCCGGCCCCTGCCATTCCCATTGCCAGCGAAGTATGTGACCAAGCTGCGTCCCACTAAGCTCAAAGGAAAAGTTGTCGGCGACAAAGGCTCATCGGGGAAATACGTCATCAAGGCAGTGAGGTACGTCATTGTGGTAGTGAGACAGTGAGACAGTGAGGAAGTGTGGTATCCAAGTTGTGGTATCTCCTTGTGGTATTGCGTATGGCTGAGACCCAAGGTGTGCCCACCTCCCGCCTCATGTCCCCTCTATCCCTCGCCATGTCCTGTTGGCAGGTACTCACCCACGTCATACTACTATACATATTATGTCGAAATCCTGCACATCAGATCTGGGGGGAAGATGCCTACGTTCAGCGCCGAGACTTCTTGCGCTGCCACTGAACTAGGCCAAGTGGGTCAAGTTGTGAGAAACATCACCAGTGACAAGCCCCGCGACAAGCGATACAGTTTCTTATTTTCAGATGAAAAAATATTTACGACACTGGCTGAGACCCAAAGTATCATTAGTAGTGCACTGTCTGATGGCCTTTTTGCGAGAATTGGGTATGAGACACACGTTCAGGCACTCTGTGGTAAGCTTCGGAAAGTGGTGTAATCATTTGCTGCATGTTTAAATGTAAGATATACCTTATGTATACATTTCAAGCTCATACATATTTATTTCTAATTACATGGTAAAAAATGTGGTGATGCAGATGAGTCTGGTAGAAGTTTTGATTATTGTTTTTTACTAGTGGTGTACTACTGTGGAAGGAAGGCCGCTTCAAAGCATTTTCAGCGCGAGCTTATGAGAGGTGACAGCCAGCAGCCGACACGACAGCCGACAGCTGGGAGCCAGGCCCAAAAAAGCGACCCTGCATGGTCGGCATGTGGCGCCGCGAGGGTCTGCCAATGGGCGACCCGCCCGCATCCACCAGCGACCGGCCGTGAGTGTTAGGAACAAAGCCACCTCGCGCGGCAGGAGCTACTCCCGAGACCGCTGCGAGACGTCGTTCTCTTGTTCCTCGTGCCGTGCTCCCCATGGTCCCCGTGCTCCCCGTGCTCCCCGTGCTCCCCGTGCTCCCCACTCCCGTCCGCCACCTCGCTCTTCCCCCAACGCCATCGTCAGCGTCAACGTATGCAGTACCCGCCGCTTGAACCATCCCATCCAATTCCCCCGTCCACCTTCCGAGTCTCCGACTGCTCCCCAGCGGCGGCATCTTTTCACCGCAACCGAGATTCTCTAATCCCCAATTTTCCACTCAGCCCGTTCTTCCAACCTCTCGCTCACTCTCGCGTTTTCCAAAATATCGCGCCGTCCCGCGATTTGCCAGCGTGTCTCTCTCCTTGACGCACGTCCCACCGCAACCTGCATCGGCGGCCGTCGCCGTGACCTGCGCGCCTCGTCCCGCCGCCATCTGAGTGCGCGCGCTCGAGCTACCGCGCGCGTTAAGCCCCTCCCGGTCCGCCCCGGCACGACCTCGCAGCTGCGTCCGTCGCGGGACTCGAAGTCGAGTCCGATTTGCCCGAAGCAGGCTTAAAACAGCTCCCCGCAGTCTCGTTAACAACGCCGTCGCGGACGTGTGGACGGGCGGAGATGGCTGCGCGGGACTCCGGCAAGGCGGCGGGGGGAGGCGGGAAGGGGCGCGGGAAGGGCGCGGGAGTGGGGGAGGGCGGCGAGGGGGAGTGGTGGCGGGAGCCGCTGTGGCAGGGCGCGATGGTTGTGGGGGGTGCGGCGGTGGCGGTGGGGCTGGGAGTGAAGTACCTGATGGGGGCGAAGGGGGAGGAAGGGGCGCACGCGCACAAGGGGAAAGGGCAGGTGAGTCGGGAATGCCAGGCAGGTCGCTGGGATGAGGCGTGGAGGGCAAAGGGTTTATCTCGGGGTGATGAATGGGGGCAGGGTTTGTCGTGATGGAATGGCGATGGCGATGGCGATGGCGATGGCGATGACGATGGCGATGGCGATGGCGATGGCGATGGCGATGGCGGAGTGAGATGCATGGCAAGTGAGGTGCTGCACGTGCAGGCTAGCTGGGTCGCGCGGTACTGTTCCATGCCTGCTGCACACCTGCCTCTTCCCCCCTCGCCTTGCCTCTTCCCCACCCGCCTTGCCTCTTCCCCCCTCGCCTTGCCTCTCCCCCCTCGCCTTGCCTCTCCCCCCTCGCCTTGCCTCTCCCCACCCGCCTTGCCTCTCCCCCCTCGCCTTGCCTCTCCCCCCTCGCCTTGCCTCTCCCCCCTCGCCTTGCCTCTCCCCACCCGCCTTGCCTCTCCCCCCTCGCCTTGCCTCTCCCCCCTCGCCTTGCCTCTCCCCCCTCGCCTTGCCTCTCCCCCCTCGCCTTGCCTCTCCCCCCTCGCCTTGCCTCTCCCCCCTCGCCCTGCCTCTCCGTCCTCGCCTTGCCTCTCCCCACCCGCCTTGCCTCTCCCCCCTCGCCTTGCCTCTCCCCCCTCGCCTTGCCTCTCCCCCCTCGCCCTGCCTCTCCCCCCTCGCCCTGCCTCTCCCCCAGCGCCCTGCCTCTCCTCTCTCTTCTTAGCGTCGTGCAAAGGTCGGCCACGAGGGCGCAGTGTGCTGTGACCCCCCCGCTTAATGCCATACCCATGTCCTGTGTATCGATGTGTTGGCTGGTGTGCGTCTGAGCATGAGTGCATGTGTGCATGTGTGCATGTCTGTGTGTGCATAAGCACATGTGTCGGTGTGTGCATGCGTGCATGTGTGTGTGCATGTCTGTGTGTGCATGAGCACATGTGTGTGTGTGTGTGTGTGTGCATGCGTGCATGTGTGTGTGCATGTCTGTGTGTGCATGAGCACATGTGTGTGTGTGTGTGTGTGCATGCGTGCATGTGTGTGTGCATGTCTGTGTGTGCATGAGCACATGTGTGTGTGCATGTGTGGATGCGTGCATGTGTCCCCCCCTACAGGCGAAGGTGAGGCGGCACGTGCAGGCGCTGGTGGTGGATCCGGTCCGGACATGACAGTCAAGGTGCACAAAGGCGGATGTTGAGCGGATGTGTGCATGTGCCCTCATGTGTGCCCCCACCCGCCCCCCCTCCCTTTCTCCACAGGCGAAGGTGAGGCGGCATGTGCAGGCGCTGGTGGTGGATCCGGACATGACAGTCAAGGTGCACAAGGGCGACACGCTGTGGGGCCTGGCGCACAAGTACCAGGTGAGGGGGCCTGGCGCACAAGTACCAGGTGAGGGGGCCTGGCGCACAAGTACCAGGTGAGGGGGCCTGGCGCACAAGTACCAGGTGAGGGGGCCTGGCGCACAAGTACCAGGTGAGGGGGCCTGGCGCACAAGTACCAGGTGAGGGGGCCTGGCGCACAAGTACCAGGTGAGGGGGCCTGGCGCACAAGTACCAGGTGAGGGGGCCTGGCGCACAAGTACCAGGTGAGGGGGCCTGGCGCACAAGTACCAGGTGAGGGGGCCTGGCGCACAAGTACCAGGTGAGGGGGCCTGGCGCACAAGTACCAGGTGAGGGGGCCTGGCGCACAAGTAACAGGTGAGGGGCGGGACCAGGTCAGTTTTCTCTGCTCCACCTGTGTTGCTCCCTTCCATCCCTTCCCTCCTGTCCCCGCGAGCAGCCCCTCGCCTCCTCGCCACACCATCCCCTGGCACGCACCTGCACCTGCCATCCAGGCATGGCATTCGCAGGGCGGACGCCTTCCATATGCCACCATCAACCTGGGGATGCCCGCCGTCCTGCCAGCTTTTAGATGCAGCCATCCTGTTGCTGACCGCCTCCCGCCTGCACACTACCCTTCTCATGTGCTTCTAGGACTGCGTTTTTTTTTCTATGAGCCCTTGTGCAACCCATGGACCCCCATGTCTCCCCATGCGCCCCCGTGCGCCTCCATGCGCCCCCATGCACCCCCATCCGCCCCCATGCGCCCCCTTGTATCCCATGCTCACCCGTGCCCCCCCAGGTGCCAGTGGATGCGCTGCGCAGTGCGAATCCCGAGGTGCGGGGCGACCAGGTGCTGGCGGGGTCGCGCCTGTACATCCCCAACGTCATCAGCGACGAGGAGTTTGACGTGCGCGCTGATGAGGAGTAGGGGGCGAGAGGCTTCCACGCGCAGCAGAGCAGGGGGGTGACGACACACTGCATGGGGGGGGCCATTGCCCAGTGCTCACGCGGAGGGGTTGTAAGGATGCGAGGAGGATGTGTGGGAGGCAACAACACAGCCGGCTCGTGCACGAGTGACTGCACCTCCCGCCGTCGGGTTTCTCAAGCCGCAGCCTCGGCCACTGGCTGCTGCTGCTGCTGCTGCTGCTGCTGCTGCTGCTGCTGCTGCTGCTGCTGCTGCCGCCGCCGCCGCCGCCGCCGCCGCCGCCGCCGCCGCCGCCGCCGCCGCCGCCGCCGCCGCCGCCGCCGCCGCCGCCGCCGCCGCCCTTCTGCAGTGGCTGCACTAGGGGAGGTGTGACCGGCTAGTGCACCTCTAGAGGTTATCCTGGGTTAGGTAGGGGGTATTACTAAAGACAGAATCCTGCTTAACATGGATTTTGTGCAATCTCAGGTTCTTGAATCGTAAAACTCATGATGATTGATATGCTTCATCCGGTTATTGTACAGATTGACTGCTTACAGAAACAAGGCACTATGTTGCCTTCTAGCCACTGGCTAAGTATACCCTTTGTGCATGCCTTGCCTCCCCCATCAAATCTCCCTCGTCGCTGCCCCCCTGTCCATACCATAGCCAAACTGGAAGTGCCCATCTGCAATCCCTGCATCTTCCTCATCCCCACGTGCTCCACCTGAATCCATCCCACCCACATCAGAATGCCACCTCCATCACACAGCGTGTGCCCTGCCCAGTGTAACTGCTCATGACGTGTTGCGCGAGGGTGAGCAGCTTCAGCATCTTGCGTGCGCTCAACTCATGCAGCACCGGTCCAAACACTCTAGTCCCCTGCCTACCCTTCCAGACAATCACCCCCTCACCACTGCTGCACGTGGACGCAGCAATGGCAAGTGCCCACCTGCATCTTCCTCACCCCCACTTGCTCCAGCTGAGTCCACTCCACGCCCACATCAAAACGTCACTTTTATGATCCCAAAGTGTGCCATTCCTACACCAATGGCAGCTGTCTTCATACACACGCCATGTGGCGCTTATATGACGTGCTGTGCGAGGGTGAGCAACTTCAGCATCTTGCGTGCCCGCAGCTCATGCGGCACCGGCCCAAACACTCTCGTCCCCACCGGCTCCCCCGCCTTGCTGATCACCACGGCGGCCGGCCCGTCGAACCGCACCTCGGTGCCGTCCTTGCGCTTGTGGTGCGTGGCGGCGCGCACCACCACGCACGTCACCACCTCCCCCTTGCGCACCTTCCCCCGCGGCTCCGCGTCTTTCACCGACGCGATGATCACGTCGCCCAGGCCCGCCGCGTTGGGCGCGCGCCCGCGCAGGACTTTGATGCACTGCACGCGGCGCGCGCCCGAGTTGTCGGCGACTTGGAGGTTGGTGCGCAGCTGCACGAAGGTGCGCGTGGGGGTGAAGGGGAGGGCGGCTGTGGGGGAGGAGGTGGGGAGAGGCGTGGGGATGAGGGGGCGGACGGTGAAGGGGATGGATTGAGTGAAGAGGGGGGAGTGGGGGGAGGAGGAGGAGGAGAGAAGGGGGTGGGAATGGGGGGTGGTGGAGGCGGGAGTGGAGAGGGAGGGAGGTGCGGGGGGAGGGAGGATGGGCGAGGCGGGTGGCGCGTGTGCGGATAGGAGAGGCGTTGCTGCTACGGCAGTCCTGGCAGGTGGGGTGGTGTGGACGATGGCAGGGAGGGGATGGGGAGGGCGATTGTGAGCGGCAGTGCGAGTCAGGAGGGGAGGTAAGGGGGTGCGTACGAACGACGACGAGTCAGCTGGAAGCGTGAGGGGGTGGGAAGGGATGACAGAGGGTGCGCGGGGGTGGGAGGGGTGGGAGCGGTGAGTACGGAAGAGAAAGGAATAAGTGGGAGAGAAAGCAAAGGGAGCATGGAACTGGAAAAGAGTGTGAGGGAGAGGGGAGGAAGAGAAGGGGGAAAAGGGAATTTAGGGCACAAGAGGGGGAAAATAGGAAGAAGCTCGAGCGAGAAGGGGGAGCCAGTAAGTGGAAGAGGGGAAACGGGGAGTGGGAGGAGGGAGGGGGACGGGGAGGAGCAGAGGACGACGGTGGGAACGGGATTTTGGGCAAGTAGGTCGGGGGTGGGGAGGGGAGGAGAGCGCTCTTAAAGCCCATGTCGAGCGACGGGGCTTCTATGAACCTTTCAACTCCCGCCTCTAAATCAACTAAGCAACGATGCAGCCGCGATGATCCACTTAGACCCCGATCCGGTCGACCTCCGCGGAACGGGAGGTGACGCTGCATGCGAATCACGCGGTCCGCGCGACGGATGTCTCTCGGCGGTCGCGACTAACCGGCCGGCTTCAAGCCGGTACACGTACCAGCGCGCGACGGCGGAGCGCGCGGCTGCGACTCCCCTCGAGGAGCGCCGCGCTGTGAGCCCCGCGAGCATGGCGAGGCCGACGCGAAGAGGGGCGCGCGATGGGTGCGGCGAGGCGAGGCTCGGAGAGAGGGCTTGAGAGGTGTCGCGGGGAAGTGGGGTAAGATCACGAACTGGTTTTTTTCTTTGTGTTGCCTATCCCTGCTGCAAGGGCGTGTGTCTTTCGGTGTAGACGTTCGGAACAGAGGTCAAACTTTTGCTGGTAACCAATTTCGCGGATGTCAGTTTGCGACATTCGTCAAGTAAAGCTCAATGTTTGGAAAACCACGAGGTCACTGATCTCAGGTCGAACTCACAATTGAGTTTTCACGAACACATTTATCCAATCGTGTACACGCACGATGAGTTTGCGAATTATGCGTAGGATCGCAGGCTTCGTCTGCACATCGCACGCACAAACAAAGCCATCCTAACCGAACCTGGTAACTTACGAGGGTTGAGTGCGACTCGGACTCTGCCCTATAAGCTCGAACTTCGAAGTCGAGCATTTCTGTGACCAACGCTTGACGCGAAAATTGAACACGCGATTTGACAAATTAATGTTGAAATAGTCGAAACCGGGTCGACCAATGTTCATTTGCTAAAATTCGGAAAAAAAAAAACATGAACTTTACAATCTTCGCCGAAAGACACAACTTTGAGCCGCGTTACTAGTACATGGCACGATGAGGTGATTGCTTGGGGCAGTGCTACTTTTGTAAAATCGTGTTACGGAAACCTGCGTCGGGTCAGCTTCGGTAGCCGAACACAGCGAGCGAAACCAGACGATCAGCCTTGGTGTTCTCGAACATCTCTGCATTTTGAATGGAAGATTCCTGTTTTTTCAAGATGTGGGATCCAATTGCGAAGTTCGCAACTATCGCTGTTCCCCTCGTGTTCCCAGTTGGCCCCTTGAGGCGAACCACAGGGTAACCTTGCTTGTGACGGCCCAAGGGCTGCGTTCTGCTGGCGCATCAGCCCGCATCAATGTGCATTGCTACATTTTACGACGGTTCCAGGATCCTTTCTTGATAACCTCCCGACAGGTTATCAAGGCTCGCGATAAGCGCATGGCTGCCGTGGCAAACCAATCCCGAATGCCTGCAGAACGGCCTTTTTGGCCCTCGAAATTTGTAATATGAACGCGTTCCAAGAAGCTTCCTCTCCTAGCAATCGGGCGCATCACTGATGCGCGCATCATGCGACTTCGAAAACTCGCATCATGCGCGCATCAGCTGATGCGCTGCAACCTCATTGGCCAATCAGTTTCCCACCTCAATCAGCTGATTTGAATGTCCAATTTCCTGACCTCAATTCAAATTCGTCGGATTTTCCAAACCTCAATTCCAAATGTCCGAACCTCAATTTCGCAATTTCCAAAACGTAATTTCCGAACCTCAATTTCTCAATGTCCGCATCAGGCCGAGCCTCAGACGCATCAGAGCTGATGCGCCTGCAGAACGCAGCCGGGATATCCCTCCCACACTTGCGAACTCATGTCTTCATTCGAGAATCGAAAATGGGATGACAGCTGTGCCACTGTAATAACGTCCAGTTCATTTCTTCAGTTCAGATTCAGAACGTCCAGCGTGATAACTGCGCAAGCCGATCTGATTAAGTCCGTCTGCCACAAGCTCTTATCGTCCTTACCTTAGGCTCCCGTTAGTATCATCGCTTTTCCCTCGCCTGCCAGTGGCACGGGGTCGTCACTGTGTTTGGGCTTGCCGGGACTGTGGCAATCCGAAGTCAACAATCTCTAATAGGCTTTCTGGTCTGACGTTTAGTAATACAGTAACGGAAGACTGCAGCTATCAGCTATGGCTGCCACCGAGCATCCACAGGCGCACACATGGCTGCAATCGGTAATCAGCTATGCCAGATCGGCGATGGAATCCACTATTCGCCCACCTCTGCCACGAGAACTCCCGGGACCGTTCGTTCCACCATGCTCCCAGTCATCTCTCCTGCTCACTGACTCGTTACAAGTGCTCAGCTCCTCAAGATGACCGGGTCGTTCGACCGAGTCTTTCGGGACCAAGTCTTTCAGGGCCGAGTCTTTCAGGGCCGAGTCATTCGAGCACTTCCAGCAAGCGACCGCCGTCGAGGGTCAGCGAGCCTGTGCAGCTTCCTCGCAGTGATACTTTTCCACGGTTCCCGGCGCCAGCCATGGCTCGTCATACCCCTCCGTGGCTCGCAATGCTGCTGCTCGCTGTCATCCTCTCGGCGACTGTCGCCTCTGACTCCAACGCCGCCGCCGCTGCTACCCCTCCCACGCCTGCAGCTGCTACCGCTCCCGCGCCGGCCGCTTCCAACTACTACGCCTTCAACCCGGCCTCCAACAGCCTGACGTTCGGCCCGAATTACACTATAGCATGGAATGACACGGGAGTCACCTCCGCTGTGGACTCCTCTGGCGCGCCTCTCAAAAGCACCGCCAACGCCGACGGCTCCGCCACTATTGCTGGCGGGTACACCGCCTACCCCAACGGCACGCTTACAGGTTCGGGAATCGTCCTCGTCACCAACGGACCCACTGCCAGGTTCTGCATGGGAGCGACCACGTTCCTGAAGAACGGCACCATCCTTGATGGTTCGGGGAAGCCGATTGTGCCGACTCCTAATGCGGACGGGTCGTACACTGCAGGGGACCTGACTGGGTGGAGCAACGGCACCATTGCTGGAAGCACTGGCACCGTGATCTATCTTGGCGGTCCGCTCGTCCTCAGCCCTGGCGGCGCTGTTGCTTACGCCGCTCCTCCCCCGCCTCCTCCTCCGCCTCCTCCTCCGCCTCCTCCACCCAAGGCTGCTGGTAACTTGTTTCTCCTGCGCCACCTTCTGTCCCATTGGTTCCGGCGTTCTCGTTTCCCTTTCCAATGCTTCTGTTGCACCTCATAGCTTCCCTGCTTTGCCCCTCCACCATGTAACCCCCCTGCACATTTCCACGCCCCTTCCTTTCTTATGCCTTCTTTCCACCCTGCCCTTGCTCTGAAGCGGGTTGTTGTTTCTGACCCTTTTCTGTTTGTGTATTGTCGCCATCGCAATTGCAGGCTCACTTGCTTCACCGACCAGTGGTCTCGCTGCTCTCATCACTCTAATGCTTGGCTCACTCCTTTTCATGTAGCGCAGTTGCTGGATAACACACCTTCCTGTCGTGCCCGCATTCTTATGGACCTTAGAAGAAGTTGAATCTGCCTAGTACGGTAGTAAACCACGTCATGGCAATTAGTAGGTACTATGAGACCTGGTGTCAAGCAATGTCTAAATTTTTGTTAGACATATACCGGTATTAAGCAGCAGTGAGGTACCTAGTATCATAGTACAACACTCCTCTCCACATTGACACTTGCATCCCCTTGTTCCTAGCACGACCATTCCGCTAAGTAACTATGAGAAATGGTAACATGCGCTTAGTTCCTATGCCTCTACCTCCTAGACCAGATTACCGTCACCCCCCGGATAAGCTATAATAAAACACGTTTTTTTATGGGGGTGGGCTTATAATCAAGGAATTATATAAGCGCCGGTGTTAATATTGTTGGAAACAATTGACTTAAGCACCTCTGTCGTGTCGAAACACTAAGTCATAAGCGAAGCAGAACATATCGAAGCATCGGCGAGTCAACCCTCGGAGGTTGAGCAACTGCTGGAGGTTACGCGAAAGTCAAAGGTCAGCGACCTTTGACCTGACAAATACAGCGCGACAGCAAGGACAAACAGCTGACTCGTTATTGAGCAGTTGCCCGAGTCGTCACTGTATCGAACCGCAACAGCAATAGTAAAACGGTTATTAACCGTATCTCTTCGTATTCCTTGTACTCTTATAAAAGGCTTGTATCTCTTTGTTTTAATCAATCTACTTTGCTCTCACACACCAGTGCAAGGTGGTTCACAGACTTATCATTAAAACGCTTCCGCTATTACATTATTCCTACTCAGAGTTTAGTCCTCCAAAGATCCTAAGGGCTTTTCTCAGCCCAACATGGTATGAAAGCTATCAGGGCAAACTCAACTACTATCAAGACACCCACAACATCAGAAGGCATGGCAACGCAGAAGGAGAGAAGCTCCTCTAACGGCTCTCCCGGTACTACTCCTACTCCACCTCCTGCCTCTGGCCTACAGACAGAGGAGGGCACAGCAACAAGACCGGCGCCTTTGTCACAGTCATCATTGGCGGCCTTGGTCCTCATTGGCGCTCCACCCGCGCCATACTCCGAGCTCACGGGAAAATCTCAGAAGCAGCACTCTGCGCTGAAATTCACGCTGAACAGCAAGACATGGATCTGCAAGAAGAACGGCACAAGAATAAGACGTCAGTACCCGAGTTTGCATTTCACACTCAACGGCGCTACAACAACAACAACAATCGGCATCAACCTAAACCCGTACCGCCGTTCTGTCATCTCTGCAAGACTTCAGGACACCCTCGCACACACTGCCCGAATCGACAGCAATCAACGCCGCAACGTCAACTTCGTCCCTCAAGCAGTCAAGTGGCGTCCACGCAAGCACACCCCACGAATCAACTGCAGTCTTCAACGACGTCGTCAGCACAATCTGCACAAGGAGCAAGAAACATCGTCAGTTGCATGGCAAGATTGACTGACTCCTGCATCACCGAGTCACCACCACACTACTCACCGGAAGAACAACTCGACAACAGCACCCCTCGCCGCGAGTCACTTCAACCAAATCCAACATATGCAGCCATCGCTCAAAGCGAGCCGTCCGGGAAAGATACGTGGTTCTTGGACAGTTGCTGCGGACAGCACATGTGCTCTTCAGGGCGCTTCGTTCAACGCGAACACCAACTTCAACGCGAAGTCGTCATCACCGTCGCCAACAACCAGAACCTGCGCACACGACGACAAGGAGTGGTGCAACTTCAGTCACGAGAGACAAACGTAATACTGCAAATGTCAAAAGTGCTAATTGCGGAGGGACTCGGCTACAACTTACTGAGCGTCAGTCAGCTGATGGTGAAAGGCATCCACCTCAAAGCAGACAGCACAACACAGGAGTTCAAGTTACAC